TTTTAAGCCAAGTTTGGCAAGTTCTCCTATTGGGCACGATATATATATTTTATATAATATATATATATATTATATAATATAAATATATATATATATATATTATATTATATTATATATATATACATATATATATATATATATATATATGTCGGGCGAATAGGTTTTAAAACTTGGTTTTTGGGCCTAATAGAAAGCTTTTCTTCAAAATAAGGCAAGCAAAATTTTTGTGTTTTAATAATTCGAAAAAAAAACCATTTTTTGAACTTAACGAAAAATATATTATCTCACTGTTTTTGTTTTTTATTAAATTATTGAAATTTATCAAAAATAATTTAGTTGGATTAGGCTAAATTGCGATTGTTAAAAAGTTTGGTAAGTTTTCTAAGGTTTTTTTGGTACAAAATTTTTAAATTTTTTACATTAACTAAATAAAAAATATTTTTTTAAATTTAAAAAGAGAAAAATTTTAGAAAAGATTTAATTTTAAATGAGCTCTTGCTAAAGATCAATTTTACTTTTCGGCACAAACCCCTTTTCCCCACTTATTATAACAACGCAATATAATTTAGCCTAACCCAACTAAATATATTTTAAAAATTTACAAAAATTTAATAAAAACAAACCAATGAAAGATTTTTTTTTTTTTCGTTGGGTTTCAGAATGTTTTTTTTAAAAAATCATTGCATGCACAAATTTTCGCTTGCCTTATTCGGCAAAAAAAATCATTGTTTTAACTAAAATCAAAATTTTTTACCTTTCGGCACGACATTATATAATATATATATATATATATATATATATATATATATTTATTATTATATATTATATTATTATATATAAGGTAGTGGGTTGGTAGCGAACCACCCGGGGAGGTCTACCGCCCTACCAATGGTGTAAAACGAAGCCTGTGTTGTTTTTACATGATGGTGGATTGCTGATGTCTTTTTTCGTTCATAAATAGCAGTTTACGGCATGTCTTGTATTCTATTTACACTTAGGCCATACCATACATGTAACATTTTTTTATACACTATCTGATTTTTCTTTGATTTTTTTTAATAGTTTTTGGGTCTTATTAATTTTCCTTTTATACCATGGGGAAGGGGAAATAAAATCTTTCCCCCGTAACGTGGTGTTGTAGGAGTCAAAAAAAATCCCGGGAAAAAAGGGTAGAAACCCCCTTTTCCCCTGAAAAGATTAAAAAAAAGAAAAAAAGAAAAAAAATTGTAAAGTGGGAAGTCTGAAGTGCGGGGTGTTGTGCAGTGATAAGAAAGGATGATTGTGGATGTTATGAATGAAAAAAAAAGCTGGATGTCCTGGCTTTAAGTAAAACAAAGCTAAAGGGGGGTGGGGAGTTTCAGTGGAGAGGAAAAAAGGGATTGGGTCAGGGGTTCAAATAGAGTTGAGCTAAGAAGGAGTGAAATAATTTAAAGGGATAAGTATGGCAGGAAAAGAGGGACTATAAATGTATTAATTAAAGGTTTATGTGGAGCAAAAAAAATTTTGGATGTGAAAAGTGGGTTTAATAAGCGTGTTTGCACCTGGAGAAAAAGGAAGTGTAGAGGAGAGAGAGAATTTGGGAAAATGTTGAGTGAATGCGTGGGGAGTTTTGAATCAAGTGGGAGTAATGGGGTTTTGGGGATTTTAATGAAAGTGGGTAAAAATGTTATGGAGGAGTTGGGTAAATTTGGGGGTGAGGGGAAATGTAAATGGGGAGCCTTAATTGGGCTATGTGTAAAAAAAATTTGGGAAAAGTAATAAATTTTATGAAAAAGAGGAAAAATAAATATAAAAGGGTATGATGTACACGTAATAAATATTTTATTGATTATGTATTGGTGGAAAAAGGTTTTGAGGGTAGGCTCCGGTGTACATGTTTATAGAGGGGCAATGAATATGGGATATTATTTATTTGTACTACGTTAGAGAAAGGTAGAGGGGAAAGAGGAAGGTGGCAACAACAAGTAAGGGGGAGGTAAAAGTGTATAAAAAAGGGAGGGGGAAGTTCGGGTGAATTAAGCGACTATTGGCAGAAAGGTGGGCAGTGCAAAGATGATTTGTGGGGGGGTTAAAGAGGGTTGGGAATAGTTTTTAAAAATGCAGTTTAGAATGGGGGAGAATTTTTGGGTTATAGGAGGTGGGGCAGGAGGAAAAGGAGGATTGTGGAATGGAAGAAGAAAAAGGGGGTGTGAAAAAGAGAAAAAGGGTAGCTTATGAAGGTTTTTACAAAGCGAAGTGTTATAAAAAAGGAAGTATATGGAGGAAAAAGAAAGGAAAAGAAGTGGTGAGAGAGTGAAAAAGGGAGAGCAGATGATAGGTGGGGAGGCCTGTCAAAAAAATTTTAATGAAATAAGAAAAAATTTTGGGGAGTTAAACAATTTTAAAAAAGCTGGGGAAAATATGGATTTGTCAGTTAAAAACAGGTAGGGGGTTTAGTAGATGGGGGATGGAGGTATTGGGTGATGGCGAGAATTTTTTGGGGAATTTTTTAAATGTTAAGGGAAAAAAAGGCATAATTCATGCCTGGTCAGGGAGGTTACCATTTTTAGGAGGAAAAAAGGCAAAAATGTAAGTTGGGGGAGGTACGTAGGCATTACGTAAAATAAAAGGGGGGTAAACAGCGGAACTGAGGGATCTGCAAAAAATTTTTAAAAGCGGGGGGGTAAGTTTTTTGGAGTGGTTGGTATTTGTTTAATAAATGTATGAAAGGGGGAAGGTACCTAGGGTTGGAAGGCTGTATAGCCCCTTTTAATTAAAAAGGGAAAAGGGGACAAAAGAGCTGAAAAAAATTAAGAGGAAATAAGCTTATGAGATACCGGGAAAAGTGTACGGTGGGAAAAAAATTTAAAAGAATTAGAGGTAAGACAGAATGGGGGATTGCGGATGAGCAAGGAGTTTTAGAGTGGGTGGGGGAGTGTAGTCAGGTGTTTAATTTGAAGCATATAGTAAAATTTTAGAAAAGATAGGGAGGTTTTTTTCTTTTATGGATTTAAAAAAGGGGATATGATAGAGTGGATGAGGGCAATGTGGAATGTTGCAAGATAGGAATGGGTGGTAAAGTTAAAAAAAATGCGTAAAGGTTTTTATGAGGATGTGGGGCTCAGGTTGGGGTGTGTAAAGAGAGGGGGGATATTTCCCCGGTAAAGTAGGTCTTAGACAGGATGTTTAATGTCACCATGTTGTTTAATATATTTATAGATGGGTTTAAAGGAAGAAAATTTGCTAGGTGTTTGGTGAGAGGTTGGATATAAATTATGGGGATAATAATTATATGAATTACAATATATTTATGTGATGTACTTCTTGGATCAAATCAGTGGAGTTGCCGAATTTGTTAAAAGTGGTCAATTAAAGAACTCATTTAAATAAGTTTAAAATTTGGTTTAAAGATTAGATTTTTTTCATTAATTGATAAAAATTTGATAGTTGCATCAAAAGAACTTGAATTACCTAACCTTATTGATAACAAGACGAATTTATTTTGCGCAACCTATAAAAATTTTAAATTTTTTACAAATAATTTAATAATGAAAAAAAGTGAAAATTTTTTTTGAGGTTAGGGTCAAAATTATTTTGGCGGAATTATTGGATATAAATTTTCACTTGTCCTAACTATTGGTGTGAGGTTGGTGTAAGCAGATGCAAGTTCTGCTTTGGGCACGATATACTATATAAGAATTTAGTAATATTATATAAATTAATAAGTGTGAATAATATAAAATTTATGTCGTGAGCGAATAGGTATACTCAGATTTTTGAGCCTAAATATGAAGGCTTTCTTCCGAATAAGGAAGGAAAATTTGTTATAATATTGAAAAATTCAAATCTTGGACTTAACGAAAATGATAGGTTCCTGTTTTGTTTATTATAAATTGTTGTAAATTTAAATTATTAGTTGGGATTAGGTAAATTGCGATTGTTATAAGTTTCGTAAGTGTGTAGGTTCTTTTGGTACAAATTTAATTTTTCATAACATAAATAAAAATTTTTTAAAGTTAAGGGATAATATTTAGTAGAAAAGAAACTTATTTTAAATAGCTTGACTGATCAATTTTACATTCGGCCGACACCTGCCACCACTTATTATAAAAGCGCAACAATTTACCTAATCCAACTAAAATATTTTAGAAAATGGTTATAATTTAATAGTAAACTAATGAAAGTATTTTTTTTTCTAGTCCGAATGATTTTTGCAATAATCATTGCATGCACAATTTAACTTGCCTTAATTCGGCAGAAAAGCATTCTCTTTTGGATTCAATTTTGGTTTCCTATTCGTGCAGACGCATTTTAAAATATATAAATATAATATAAATATATAATATATATATATATATATTAATATATATAATAATAACATCAATTAGAATATCTGCAATTTAATTTTACTTTATTTATTTAGAAATAAAATTAGAAAAATTAACATTAATTTTTGTAGCTCTGAAATGTGTATTTAAATGTTTATACAACCTGGGTAAAATTCCCAAGGCCAATGTTATTATATTCCCCTAGAAGCTCTAAACCCGTAGGGGTCACAAGTCGCCTGGGAAATTGGAGGTAATAAGGATGGATCAAAGGGGATATTATATTATTATATTATATATATATATATATATATATATATATATATATATTATATATATATATATATGAAACAGTGTTATTCTACATGCAAATTGACTTGAAAAAATCTGGCCATAGGATCTAAGGGCGAGACGTGTGTTCACTAGCACAATTCTTACGGCATATTTAGTTACTGCAAGTAACAGATATCTCGACCTTCATGGCTTATGGCAACTGAATGTGGTATTGCACTGTCTCGCCCTCACAGGTGTAATTCCTATGGCTACCACATAAATATTTCTTGGCCAGTGTCACTGGCACTCTCACAGTGCCAATGATCTTGAATGGCAGTGTGAGTTACCTGCATTATAGTTAACCTGCTGGACTATTGTACTATCATTAAACAGTAGTACTATTGTGACACTGGAGGTACTAACCTGGCCCCAGATAGATGGGAACATTTGGAAGGCCTGTGAGGGGACCAAGAAGCAAAAAACATTCCAATGAGATAAGGGATTAAGGGTTAATTTAGCGAGTCATTATGGGTTTATTAGTGAGTCTAAGCGGGTGTCTGGTCTGGTTGAACAGCGTCTGTAATGGTCTGTCTAACTGCATGTCTGTGAGCGGAACGTTAGTAAAATGTGTCTGGATGGGCAGTGTCTGTGACGATGAGTCAGTCTAGTTAGTGTTCTGTTTGGATTAACAGTGTCTGGATGAGCAATGTCTGTGAGAGACTGTTAGTTGAGTGCCTCAGTCAGCAGTGTTTATGGCAGACGTGTCCATGCGATATCTGAGCGATATGTGAGCGTTATTTGAGAGATATTAGAGAGATATTTGAACGGTATTTCAACGGTATTTGAGAGAGATTTGAGATATATTTGAGAGATATTTGAGCGGTATTTGAACGGTATTTGAGGGATATTTGAGCGATATTTCAGAGAGATTTGAAAAATATCGCTATTGGCTTTAGGAAGAAATCCAAATATTTTTCCCTCGAAGCCTTTTTATCCACTTCTCTGAGGCTCTGGGCCCGCAGTATATATATATTTCAGAAAAAATCTGGTTAAAAGCCTTAAAATAACCCAAAGTCAGTCCTAAAATTGAGATTATTAGAAAGACTGGATTAGATTTTGACATTTGCTCAAAAAAAATCTAACAGAAGTTAGTGTCATTTAACGTCAGGTAGCAACTTAACGCAGGTTAAATGTCTTTTAACACGGTTTTTAACGCGCGCGCACACAAGAGGAATTTAATTTAGACTGGAGTCAATCAATTATTCTTAGAGGTGGAATATTAATGTCGCTCTGAAAACTATAGTGTAGGAAGAAAGAAAAACATTATTCTGTAAAAACTTTTATTGGGACAACGTTTCGCTCAGAGTAGAGCTTTATCACCGATTGATAAACCTCAACACAGAGCAAAACGTTCTCCTAATAAAACCTATTCCTGCAACTTGTGTTGTTTTTCCTTCCCGTGAATTCTAGCTAACCGCAGGTCACTTTTAGACAGGTCACATTAAAACACAGATCACTTTTAGACAGGTCACATTAAAACACAGATCACTTTTAGACAGGTCACATTAAAACACAGATCACTTTTAGACAGGTCACATTAAAACACAGATCACTTTTAGACAGGCCACACTAAAACACAGATCACTTTTAGACAGGTCACATTAATTTATACATAAGCCACACCCGCATAATCTACCTCACCCTCAATTCACCTCGGGTCACTGTCATGAAGCTGAATCAACACGGGTCACGGGTAATTTAACCTAGGTCACGGGTAAATTAACTCCTACGAGCGGTCAATTAGCACAGGTCAAAGCCATTTCAAGCATCAATGTCCTCTGGATAAGGCTGGCGAGGTATGTAAGGCTTAATCACCACTGTTAAAATCAAGGTTTTTGTATATCAAGTCTACTGGGAAAAGTCCTTTAGTGTTCTTTATGACATCATAAGAAAACGTGTCAAAATAATAAAATAATAATAATAATAATAATAATAATAATAATAATAATAATAATAATAATAATACAAATTAATAATAATAATAATAAGGGTGTCGAGAGCAAGCTAGGTGCAAGGAAAGTGTGCCACGTGCTCGCTAGGCATTTAGATCAAAACTGCCTGTGTGTGTGTGTGTGTGTGTGTGTGTGTGTGTGTGTGTGTGTGTGTGTTATTGATCAATGCGCATATTAGATGTTTGCTAGGCGTTCCTAAGGATCTAGTTGAGTCAGTTTGATGTTAGTTGTGAACACAGTGCGTTCGATGTTAATTAGGCGCCGTGGTTAAAATCAAATTGCAGTTGATATTAGTTACGTAGCTGTACATGCAAATCATCCACGTCTTGAAATGCGACTCGCACTCATTACGAGCTACGAAAAGGCGATTTACGCGATGTAACGCAAAGCGAAGAAAGCCGAGAATCGTCTCTGATCTCCATCACGGACACCAGCGAGCAGAATCGGTAAAATTTTCACCTGGCCGGACCTCTGAACTGCCTCTCGCTCGACAACCTCCGTCTTCACCAGACCTAAAAGTTATCACCGTGACAACTGTTACGTAACAACTTTGTCACGGATGTCAATTAGACTGTTAGGTCCTCAACTCCATAAACACACACACACGCACACACACACACACACACATACATACACATTTGCAACTCCATATTGCTGAAACGTTTTTCGCCCCGCCCCCAAAAAAACGTGGGGCGGAGGGTCCCCTTTACAGCGCTTTGTTCTACGGCATTTCGCTAATACAGCGGTTTTCAATTACACCCATTTTTCATTTATTCAGACTTCCTATAATAAATATATTCACCACTCAGTATAAGCTAAGGTTGCAAATATTTTAAGTAATGTGTATACTGCTTATGCAATTTTTTTATGTCTGGTTCTATTGCTCGCTTAATATATAATAGGCTGTTTCACTTTACAGCAATTTTAAATTTACAGAGGTAGCCTGCTGTATAAGCGAGGCCCTCCTGTAGTAGTCCTGACGTGATTAATGACACAAGATTACCCAAGAAGGTAACCCAATGTGATTCATTTCCACTGAGATTTTGGGGTTCTCACCTAGAATCGAACCACAACAGCCGGTTAATACTAGTAGGTGCCGATTTACCGCTAGGCGAGTAAGGGTAACAAATATTTGGATTATTCTTATTATTCTTATGGTGGAGCGCTAAACCTTTAAGAGATTATACAGAGCCTGTGGGGGAGGTGGAAGGCATTCAGGGACCTGAAGCACAGATCCTATTCCCTAGACAAAGAGCCCCTCATCAGCGTCTAGGAACCTTCCTTGAGGGGCAAGTGTTAGGAGGCTTGCCTATACGTCACTCCTCGCCCAGGATTGAACTCGGGTCCTCTGCTTGTTAACCGAGCGCGCTACCATGGGTCTACAGCTGTAGAAAGCTGCACTTGTAGTGCTCAGTGTTGTTCCTCATCATCGTTTCCAGTATTTCTTCTCGCATGGTATGTAAACTTGGAGACCACGCAAGCTTAATTTGGCACAGAGACAGCAAAACAGGCCTTCTGAACAACGTTTCGCCTAAGCTCTATCAAGCGTAATGACGCTGTTTTGGGGAGAAACTTCGTTGTATTAAAGGTTTATTTTGATATGTTTCCTTGACTCGTATTTCCAGCACTCTGTCCACCAGTGTTTTAAATAGGAAGAAGTTCTTCGTGTTTGGAATTGTTGTGTTTTACCCAATGATCGTTATACCAAAAGAGGAGCTGACCACACAAAACACACACACACCACACACACCACACACACACACACAGACACACACACAAACACACACACACACATGACTACACAGATCACACACGTCGCTACAAACCTCCCCCCCCCCCACTCCTTACTTACAAAACCACGCACATCCCTACAAAACCTCTCACATCACGTCAGAATCTTACACATCACTTCAGAACCCTCACATATCACTTTAGAATCTCACACATCACTTCAGAACTCTCACACATCACTTCAGAATATCACACATCACTTCAGAACCCTCATACATCACTCCAGAACCCTCACACATCACTTCAGAACCTCATACATCAGTTCAGAACCTCACACATTACTTCAGAATCTCACACATCACTTCAGAACCTCACACATCACTTCAGAACCTCACACATCACTTCAGAACCTCTTACATCACTTCAGAACCTCATACATCACTTTAAAAAACTCACACTCACTTCAGAACCTCTTACATCACTTCAGAACCTCACCCATCACTAGTCCTGAATTATAAATCCAATCGACTAAAACAGTTTATCACCTTAATGCTTTAATTTTAAAAAAATTTAAAAAAAAAAAAAAAAATTTTAAATATAAATTTCGTAAAATAGGTATTAATATACACGTACCCTGCTAGTAGGTATTAATATACACGTACCCTGCTAGTAGGTATTAATATACACGTACCCTGCTAGTAGGTATTAATATACCCCCCCACGTTTTTTGTTTTTTTTTTTTTTTTTACCCCTGCTAGTAGGTATTAATATACACGTACCCTACTAGTAGGTATTAATATGCACGTACCCTGCTAGTAGGTATTAATATACACGTACCCTGCTAGTAGGTATTAATATACACGTACCCTGCTAGTAGGTATTAATATACACGTACCCTGCTAGTAGGTATTAATATACACGTACCCTGCTAGGTATTAATATGCACGTACCCTGCTAGTAGGGAGCTGAACCTGAGAATTACCTGCTGGAATAAGATAGCAGAACTTACAGCCCCAATGTTTAGAAAAAATAAAAAAAAAAAAATAATATATAACCCCGGAAACACAAAATTTCAAAATTATGTTTGATTTACCCAACTGCGGGGGAATGGTTTTTTTTTTATTTTATTTTTTTTTTTCTTTGGGCTTCCTTAAAAAATTTGTCCCCCCCGCGATTATATATAGGACCAAACCCTTTAGAAAAACAGCGCATTGGGGGGGGGTGATGTACCAACCAATTCAGGGGGTTGAACCCTCCGTCCTAAAACAAAAAAGGTTTCCAAAGACCCCTGCTGCCCCCAACCTTTTTCCTTATTTAAAAGGGGTACCTTTTTCCAGGGTGGCCCACCGGGAAAAACAAACCTAATTTGCCGGAGTCCCCCAAAAACCCAAAATGTAGCAAGCCGAAAACCTTGTAATTTTTTTGGGAAAAAAATATTTAAAATTTATTATTATTAATAAATTTTATTTTAACCCACAGCCCCTTGGGACCCACATAGGAAAATTCCCCCAATTTATTCTAGTTTTTCTCTATTCCATTTGTTTTCTGTAAAAACTGATGCCGGGATTTTATAATCATGGGGAGACTAAACCCTGATTAATCCCTGTGGGGGGGGGGGGGTAAGGGAATTTGCCAATTTCAGGGAAGGAACAAGATCCATTTCCCCTAATCAAGGGCCTCACCACTAAAGGCCTCCCTTACGGGGTAACCCCT